GAAGCCGGAGGAGAATGTCCTCAGGAAGAAGGATGCACCGCTGGGGTATAGATGCCCCCGTGCTAGCAAGGAAATCAGCGGGCCGATTCCCCTCTCGGAATATGTGTGAGACCTGGTAATGGATCGAGCGAATGGTGTCTCTGATGCGCAGAAGAGGATGCTGGATCTGCCATGAACCCTGGTGGCCAGATGTCAAAAGTGTGATGACAGCTGCAACATCCATCTCTATCCAGATATGAGAAGAGATCGAGGCGGCAATCTCAAGACCAATCTGGAGCGCTTGAATCTCTGCATCATACTTCAAGGAGGCCCGGAGTGGCCCATGGAAGGCAGAGATGAGTGCCCCACCATGATCCCTAATCAAGCCCCCTCCTCCAGCAGCTCCAGTATGTCTGTCGAAAGCGCCATCAGAGTTTAGCTTAACCTAAGGGGCCTTGGGTTTCAGCCAAACAACGGTCCTGGGTGCAAACGGTGGGGCGGTGTACAACCTGTCCAGTCTCTCGTCGTGAGTCTACCCAGGGCGGTGAGGAGAGAGAGGTGTCTATCAACCTGCAAAGTAATGTGAGCACAAGAAAATATAATATCCCTATGCTTCGCATTATTCCTTTCTGTCCAGGTGGCCCATAGGATCAGACAAGGAATAAGGAAGCCCACATGTCTACTGTGTGTGCGGTGTGAGAAAAAACTCAGAAGCTCAAAAAAACTATCTGTAGTGGATAGGGGTATATGAGTATATTTGGCATAGTGCTTCCACACTCTCCTCACAGTCTCACTCTGAAGGAAAAGATGGGTGAAAGTCTCAATCTCAAAGGTGTCGGTCTCAGCATAACAATAGCAGCGGGAGGGGAAGGAGAACTGTTTGGTATAGAAATGATGGGCATGTGGTAACCGAGGTACCCGACTCGGGTCGTTCTCAAAGGAAGGCTATTCGGAGCTTCGTTCACTACCTAGTCGTCAAAATCACACAACCGAAAAGGTCCTAAACATTCGACTCGCAATTTGAGGGTTTGAATTTAAGCTAGATTAAACTACGAAATGAGAGCAATTGAAAGCAATTAACTAAGCACGCAAGAAGATGAGAGAAGTCAAGGGGGAAAGAGAGATTTTGGTTCGACGGAGTCTCCATGATCAATCACACGCA